ATGGTGGCCAGGTTCCCTTTCACGGCGCGGTGCATTGATAGATTGGTGGTAGCAGCCAGAACACCGGGTTAAGAGAAAAGTAGTGACGAGGTAGATTCCGCGGGTGGGTGTGATCGGCTGGTGATATCTGCCACTGGGGACAGAGGGAGTGTGGCAGCATGGAGGCTGTGCGGTCACCATCCCCAGGCTCACGTGAAGAAAGAGGGTGCGGGGAGAGGAGGAAAGCAACACATTTTGTTTGGATACTTGCACACGTCTATTCTGTTTTCATGAAACAGTTCCAAGAACTTCAAAATCTCTTCAATTAATAGCTCTACTGTTGCCATTATCATTTTGTAAACCCGTTTTGTTTTCCACTCGGCAGCCCCAGGGCAGACTCATGGACGACGCCTCCATTGCTGCCGCGTGATGTTCAGGACGGGCCTCGGCTGTTCTTACGGAGACGCCGGACAGAAGTGTATAAGTTTTTCATGGTGAACTGTAGCTTGATCATGGTGCAAGTTAATCTTTGCTGTTTTTTAATGGATGTTATACCAACTCTTCAGAGGAACTCATGCTTAAAATATTAGGAAAATCTATCCTCTCTTATAGTTTTCACTAATAAATATTTGAAATCTGTCAGTGTGACGGGAAAGGATGTCAGTCCTTTGTTACTGTTGAAAGTCATTTTATGGATAGTAACGTCTTTTCAAAGTAAGGGATTTGCACATACAGTGGCCGAGGAAAGTTAAGCATCTGAAATATGACTGGACAAGGGGAACACGCACCAGTGTCCGCCCCAGGAAAGTTCTGAATCCCCGGTTGTCTCTTTCAGAGTTGGCTAAACCGGAGGTAAGTCCATCCTCGTGAATCTCGTCTGTGCTCAGAATACATACACAGGAACCGGAAAGCAGTCACGTGACTGATGCAGAAAACTTCCAGAAAGTTTTAATCAAAGCAATTTAAGATGTCTAAAAAATATCTTTGCTTACCATCAAAACATGTCAAATAGGTTCAGCTTGCAGCCCAAACGTGGATCATTTATGAAGCAGGTTTGTATTTATAAGTATGTTAACAAGGTCCTTACCTGTCAGTATCTGAACTGCAAGATTCTGGTTCTAAGCATAACTCCCTAAACTAAAAGTTTTTGAGAAAGGTGCAAGGTCTAAATAAGAGATTTTAGTTATGTTGTGCGATTTGAAAAGAACTGTTTAAAACTTTTGAAAATTCATGTAAATGAAAATCATATTGTGAAAATCCTCTTTGTTAAAATATCTTAATTTAAAACTACCCCATTTCCCAGAGATTTTTATTATTTAAAAATGTAGGCGTTTCAAAAAGGAAAAGAATAATGTAAATAAATATGTTCTCTTTCAGATACGCTTGTATGTATCTTTTATTTATTTTGCGCTTATTTGATTTCAGCCTCATGGAGCAGCTTTTACTAAGAATGTGGCTGCAGAGGTATGATGGGGTGTGTAGGACTGGAAATAGATCCGCCTTCTAGAGCCGGCGCTGCTCGTCTGTGGGGAGACTGGGGCGGTGACGGGCTGGGAGGACGTGAATTCCCTGTTATCACAGCTTTACAGGTGGAGGCCACAGGAGTTTGTCAGATTGTCTAGGGCCAAATCCCAGCCCCGGTGACTTTGTTCATGTTGCCCTTTGTTTGTCTCTGTTCTTACCTGTAAGATGTGGATGATGATAATACTATCTCATAGACTTGGTATGAGAATGATAAAAATTAAATACACAAGAGGAACTAAACAAAAATTTCATGAAGTAATACTTTCTATATGGTCTTATATTTTATATCCTACTCTGTTTTGTTAAAAATATTCCTGGTTTAACCTGCTGAATTGATTTCATGACTCACTAAGGGGGTGTAACCTGTTTGAAAAATTCAAAGGTCCGTCTCATGCTGTGCTTATGTAATAAAGGTTTCATGTGTTAACACCGCCATCGTCAAACACAGAGTACTCAGTGCATGTTAGAACGGATGGATCATTGGCATCCACTTTAAAATTGTTAGCCTTGATGTCAGTGTGATTTGTGTGAGTGTAAATACACCACATAAACAGATCTGTGCTTTCCCTCAATAGCGTAATCCTTTCTCAACCAGGAATTCTCCCATGTCGTTCATTTTACTGTGAATGTATTCTATTCACTTGTTTTTAAATTGCAAGTCTTAATTCAGAAATACATGAAATCATCGTCTTCCTGGGTCCCCAAAACAAAACTGTCACAGTATTGCAGGAGCTGTTGACTCACTGAGGTTACAAGTGTCCAGGAGGACCTCAGAGTCTTCGCCTTCCTGCCTCTGTGCACCAGCCACACTCATGTGTCCCTCACGAGAGGACCCTGTCTTCTGTCTTAGTACCGTGTTGCCATTTGATTCTCAGTATTACTCCTTACCAGTATTATGCACCACTCAGGGGTATAAATTTTTAAATAAAGCATTTAAAATTTGGAGTTTGGGGGAGTATTAAAGTTTGACCCCTGATTCTTGAAGGTAAGAGCTTGTGGATAATCAGTGTTGCGTGTTACCAAGAGGATGAGGATGGTATTGTCTTTGGCATAAAATTAATTTTCCAATTGGCTTAATTTTGTATATCTAGGATCCTAAAAGTGCAACTTCAACTCAGTTTTCCTCAGAAAGTCTTAGATTCTTTATCCTTGAATTCTTTTTATTAAGAGGCTTTCCAGAGCATGGCTCTTACATTGAATTTTTTAAAATGTCTTCACATTACTTGAAAAAAAAAGATTCTTTACGTTCATTTTCATTCAGTCATTTCTTTCATGGCCCATTAATAACTCCACCCAGAATATTAAAAGCCTCTTTCTTGATACTGTTCTTAACAATACATGTTAAGAAATCTGAGCTGTAGGATTTCCCTGGTGGCGCAGTGGTTAAGAATCCACCTGGCAGTCGGAGCCTTTGGTGTGCGACCAAGCTTTGCTCCTTTCCAGTTGCCAGGGCCGTGGGAGGGACGTCATGGCCCCTTACCCCAGCTCTCTCCTTTGTGCCAGCACAAATGCCATGCCACGGCCTTGGCACCGGGGCTGCAAGGGATTGGGTTTGGTGCCCTAACGGGGCCCATGGCTTCAGGACAGGGGTCCCCACCCTCAGAAGAGGGAGTGAGACAGGTGGGCTATAAAATGTCAGCAGAGGCAGTAACGCACGGTGGTTAACGCTGATCTTCCAGGCCCCAGACTTTCTGGTTTTTCATCTTGCCTCCTACTCGCTCCGTGAACGCGGACTGTTTATTTAACCTTCCCCCTGTAAAGCAAGGATTCAGATATCCATACCACTATATTAGTTATCTGTTGCTGAAGAGCGATGCTACTACGCACACAGTGGCTTGAAACAACACGTATTTATTGTCTGCAGTTTCTGTGGGTCAGGAATCCAGGCACAGCTCAGCCAGGTTGTCAGCAAGACTGAAGTCAATGGGTCTGGCAGGGCTGAGGTCTCATCTGAGACTTGACTGGGGGAGGATCCAGTCTCAAGCTCACCGAAGGTGTTAGCAAAATGTGTGACCTTGTGGTCGTAGGACCAAGGGACTCATTTTCTTCTTGGCTGGTGACCAAAAGGCCACTTGCTTTCTCAAAGCCAGCCAGGCGGGGAGAGGCTTCAGCAAGCCAGGCACTATAATCACACACATGTTATCATGTCCCCTCTGCTGTATTCTAGTGAGTAAAAGCAAGTCCCAGGTCCCACCCACCACTCACTCAAAGGTATGGGTGGGGTCATGACACAAAGGTATGAACACAGAAGATGGGGATCCTGGGGTCACCTTTAGAGTGTGTCCACCACAGTGCCTCATAGGGTTATCGTGAGGAGGCAGTGAGTTAACACGCATCAGGCTCTTACAAGAGGACCGTTTCTCAGGAAGCACAGTGAGCTGGTTGTGGAGGTGCTGGTGTTAACCACCATCAGAAGAAGATGCCTCTAACTTGTACTTGCTCTTGGTAAGTCTTTGAACAGTCTTCAGGGAATCTGGGCTGATGGGATTCAATTTAAACAAACAACTGCAATAGTTAATAAATGAAATAATTCCAATAACCACTCTCATTTAATTTCATTTTCTTAGTTGGAGATTGCATGGCGAGTGGGAAATATGCAAGGTTTGGAGTTTGAAAAGCAGTGAATTCATAGGCAGCTTTCTCTGCACTACACAAATGTTGGCTGTCATCTTCACTTCTTAAACTGGATTTTACAAATTATTGTTTTTTTTGTAATTACGAGGTTTAAATAGTTAAAAAGTATGTAAGGTAGTATAATTGCCACTGTTTTATTTTTTTTATTGAGGTATAATTGACATACAACATTATATTAGTGTTCAGGTGTACAACATAATGATACAATATTTGTATGTACTGCAAAATGATCACCACAATAAATCTAGTTAACATCTATCACTAAAAAAAGAAAGAAGAAAAGAATCCGCCCGCCAATGCAGGGGACACGGGTTCGAGCCCTGGTCCGGGAAGATCCCACATGCTGCAGAGGAACTTACCCGTGTGCCACAACTACTGACCCTGCGCTCTAGAGCCCGCGAGCCACAACTACTGAAGCCCGCGTGTCACAACTACTGAAGCTCGTGTGCCTAGAGCCCGTGCTCCGCAACAAGAGAAGCCGCTGCAACGAGAAGCCCGCGCACCACAACGAAGAGTAGCCCCCGTTCACCACAACTAGAGAAAGCCCGCGCGTAGCAACAAAGACCCAACGCAGCCAAAAAAAAAAAAAAAATTCTGAGCTGTGATTTCCACATTGGCATTGCAGTGAAAGAGGGGGTGCTTTCAAGGACAAAACAAGTGGAAAAGTTAAGGTTACTCTTGTAATGGGGAGGGTCTGTGTAGTCCCAGCACACACCTTTCCTCTTGACCTAAAACCCCAGAAAAGGCACTAAAAGTGTCCCAACTCCTAGTGTAAAAAAATACTTGAGATGGGGTGTGTTATTTAACGGTTGAGTGAATAAATAGTAATGACTATAATTGTCAAGAAGCAGTTAGGTGCAGCATTAGTGATTAGAGATTGTTGAATGAACACGATACTGAATAGAAATGTGCACTTTCTCTTGCTTGTGGATTTGTTCTGAAACATTTCTACCAAGGGCTCCTCAAGCCATCCTGTGGTGAGCCCCATCACCATCTTCCTTTTATTTTAGCCAACGATGCCATTCTCAGACACAGCTACTAAAGAACTGCATACAATTCACCGAATGAGTATGAAATCCCATGTTTTCATGCATAAGAAAAGAAATTTGTAGTTTAAGTATATTCAGGTTCTCTTCGAAGGTCAAATTTATGAGAAACTTTCCCTTCCGCTCAATTTACTTGTGCCTGAGAACAAAAGAGAAAGTGATCATCGGGCCTTTTGTGTCTGCTTTCTGAAGCGTGTTTTACCGGAGGGGAACATGTAACCAAAGT